TTCTCAGCTGAATGAGCACCTGGTTTGTATTATGCACATTAAGAGTAAAGCAGGATGTATATGTCAGTAATAAATCAAAGGGCTTTTATAACTGAGAGAATTTTGAATAAAAACTGGGTTATTGAAAAGACAAGAACTAGACATTTTTAAATATTAACTCTGAAAACTGACTTAAATAATGCAGAAATGAATCATGTGAAAGCACAACTATGTGGACACAGCTACATGGTTAACACTGTTGCCTCATAGCAAGAAGGTCTGAGACTCAAATTAGCCCATCTGGCCGGAGCCTTTCTATTTAGTTTGTATGTTCTCCCCATTGCCTATAGGTGCAAATGGTTATCTGTCTCTATATGTTAGCCCTGCAACCAGCTGGCGACCTGTCCAAGCTGGCTGTACCTCGCCTTTTTCCCTATGACCATGGGATAGGCTCCAGCCCCTCCGTGATCCTAAATTTGATGGACAGATGATTCGACATTTCCATTTATCAGATATTCTTTTTTTTTTCTTTTAGGCATATTACATATTAAAGTGATTTCCCTAACATTCATTATGTGCATGTATGTATTTACTCATTAACGCTCTCCCCGACTTTGCCCAGATCAGCTGGTGTTGCAGACTGCCCTCTGGTTGACAAACTATGCAACACTCAAAACACAGTTGAAGGGTGTTTCTCCCTTTTATCTTTTACTTTTTTATTCTCATTTATCATCTGTTATAAACGCTAAAGCCGATGAGCAAATAGTTAATACTGGCTTATAATATCAGTTTGCTTGGTCAGGCTCTGATTGCAATCAATTTTAGATATTCCTGTGAAGAACTGTGCAAGTCTGATAAGAAACAGTTATAAATAGCATTTTTACAAATATACACGTTAGCTTGCACCTTACAGTCATAAACAGCTAGGAATGAGACAAGTTGTACTTTGCTGCCACCACTAAATATTACTAGTTTATGACAATGGCTTGACAAAGAAACCTGTTTTAATACCTAAGAGAAGAAACATATCTCTAAATGGGTGCAAATGAGGTGAGGAAGTGAAGGGCAGCAGCAAAGGCCAGTGCCAGTCCAATGACACTGAAAGACTGAGTCTGGGTTATGTTTATGCCCTCAGGACCCTGACGCGATGAATGCCTCACAACTAACACAGTCTGCAGTATCAAAACAAGCATCTGCACACTTACATGCACACTGTTCACGCCCAAACGCACACACATATCTACAATGTGTGTTGGTCACACTCAGCCTGGGATAAAAACTGTCTGGGCTTAGGGTATTAATGGAGCTAAAATAGTCCATCATCAGATGAACCGGCGTGCTTTAAGTCTTTTTGCCCATAGAAAAAAAGAGGGGAAAAAAAGAAATATGAAATGCAAAATGGCTTTGAAAAAAGCAATAGCTCAGTTTAGAACAGCAGCCCCGTAGGCTTTAAAGGCCTCGGCAATTTAATTCCTTAATCTGTGTAATAAATATTAAAAAAAACTCCCACAGGCTAGGCTATCTGCCTGGTCTGCTAAATCAATATGAGGCTATGCCATTAAGCTATTAGAAGTGGATAGACTATTAGCAGTGCTGTATTGGTGAAATCTGCAGCATGTTGCTGCATAATGTTGCCTAAAGTTGGCTTAATTCATCAATCTAGTATAGCATTTGTTTTTATAAGTGTCAGCTAACCCTGCACAAAAACATATGCTACAAATGAGTGCAAGTTTTTAAAATTGTGTTACACTCCACTCTTAAACACTGAGATAACATGTTGCACACATCTGCATACTTTGGCCGTTAACGAGTTAGCTTCAGGCTTGTTTGGTGTATATCACAATATATACCCATATATGTGTTTATATACAATATAAACACAATTAATACAGTGTTTAATTGTACTAAGTGTCAGCTTGCCGGATTTACTCGATCTTACTTCTAATTTTAACCAAACACAGCAACAACAGCAAAGCCTGACAGGGACACCAACACGACATATCGACTCAACCCTGCTGTTCTCTTCTGTGAATAGTTGCACAAGAGTTTCAGTTTCCTAAACAAATGCATCTGTGCGAAATAAAGAGTTTACTATAGTGACGATGTGATTCATTGTTGCCCGTAAACTGTGCAGATTGCCATGGTGTGACATTAAAGACTCCTGAAGCTTGGCTACGAAAAGGAGTATCAGTCGTCCTTTGTAGCCATGCCATTGAGTTATCCCCCAGTATGACACAAAGCTGGGTAGTAGGGAGGTGGCCTGTCACCAGGGGCTAGGTCAGCATTTTGCAGAAAGCACTGCGTGCGTGTGTGCGTAAGTCGCAAGGAGGGGCTGCATGCAGAGAGATGATGGTTGTAGAAGAAATGCACGGCTAGTAACAGGTACGCGAACAAGCCATCTACCATTGTGAATGCCTTATTTTGTCTAGTAAATAAACTAAAGCTTTAAAATATAACTAATATGTCACAGATAATGTGCATTTAATTATTCTGCAAGTTAATATAGTATCAACGAAAGGAGTTCAGCTGGGGTTTCATCAGTATGTAAAAAGTAACTCAAGGGGAACCAGAAAAGGAAAATAGGTGCTGAAGCATGTTAGTAAGTAATAATAGCAAGGTGTACAATGCAAGGCTGGACTGCAGCATTTAGACAGTTAAGAGTTATCAGGGGTCGCAGCTGTCATAAGAGCAGCTGCTGCACATGTATACATGAATGAACGCAAGCAAGGCACACAAGATCACCAATGATCAAGGGGATCGAACTGAAACAGCACGTGCATTTGGGGCTACATACGAAGGGTCTTATTGACATTGTCTCTAACTCAGATTTTAACAAACACAGATGGGGCCAAAGGAGAAGTGGGTTGGAAACTAAGCTAGAATTATGGATGGCCATTGTAGTGGAAATCACTACGCCCTGAACAGTATGGATGAAAGCTAAGGCAGGTGAAGCTAGAAATTATGTCCCTTTTCCTTTAAAAACAACAACAACAACTTTGTGTTGTACTAGATTAATGGAACTGAGGTGGCTTTTAAATGATTTTGAGGTACAACTACAGGTATGGCTCATTTCAGGTTTATGTTGAACTGTGCTCCAACTTAGGATGACTGTAAACTGAATTTACTCCTATTAATTCTCACTATTTTATTTCTTAACTTTACTGGAGATATTCTAAAATTATCAAGTTAAACAAACAGAAAGTCTAATTAAGTTTTTGATACTTTACTGTATTTTTTAAGCCAAATTGTTGTTAAAGCTACTGACTGGTCGCTGACGCTTTAGCTGAATCAGCTTGGCAATAACTTGGCGTTTAGCAAAAGTTAGCTAAAGTAGCTAACGTCATAGCTAAGCTAGCAGTATAAAAAGCACGAACTCCAAAAGCCACGGGCAAGTGCTAACAATATGATAGCTGTCCATCGATATAAATGTATTATTATATCTTAGGACATTCACTCTACCATAAATTCTTCTATCACACAGCTGCATAATGACTCAAAATCGCCAGCTCGCTAGCCAAGCTAAGCTACCGTGTTCGGAAGTCTGTCCCGGTCACGAAAATCAAAACAAACGTCTCTTCGAGTGGAAAGGCAGCATAAAGCTGACAATGGGATCTTAAACTGCCCCAAATAAACTACTCGTTCTTACATATGGCCATGGTAAAATAAATATACCTATCAAGTTATTCAATGGTTTACATTAACGTTGAGCAGCTGTTAGCTAGAGATATTCTCCCGTTGTGGCAACACGCCTATTTTTTCCAGTGTTTATTTTGGGCCTAAACGACGCTTTGCAGCCCTGGCCGTTTTCCTGCTCTGCAGACCCTCTGACAATGACAGCAACTTCGGCCTTGTTCTCCCACCACGTCGCCCCCATCGACGCATTGTTCCAGTCCCATGGTCTGTTTTCCTTTTTTTCTGTTCCTTACCTGGCGCACTGCAGTCAGCGCAGACTTCTGTTCTTTGTAGCTTTCTCGACATCTCGAAAGTGGATGAAACGAAGAGGTGGATGTCGGCGATGATGTGAATATTCGCCCGTCTTCCCCCCCCCGAGCTACAGACCGACGTCTGCCGTCAACCGATGCGGCCCCTGAATCCCCGGAAGCCGGGTGGTATGATCGGCTTTTCCCCCGGCCAGCTGACGACGACTGAGCTTCCCGTTAATTCCAGCGGTCTGTTCGCCCACGTTCGCTGATGAACTCCGAGGCTGGATCCAAGTTATGTGAACATAGTTAATCTGTTTGTATAAAGGATCTCATCTCGGAATATTGCTACAGTAAATCTGTTCCTTGCATTGCCTGCAACTCACCGAGAGACGGCAGCTCTTTACCTGACAGTATCCGCGCTCGCGCTCACTCACACGCGCTCACTCTCTCTCTCTCTCTCTCTCTCTCTCTCTCTCTCACACACACACACACACACACACACACACACACACACACACACACACACCATCCCGACAACTTAGGACGGGGCGTGATGATAACCTTATGTTCTTAAAAGTGAGGTGGTTTCTGTAGAACGGGACTTAATCACAATCTAAAATTCATGCTGACAGAAAAGTTACTAGATGTTAATCAGATATTGGATATAAGAAACACATTGCTCCATTTAAGCAGAAGTATCGCGATCACCCAACCTTCAATGGCTGAGCAGCTTTAGCAGTCAAATGAAACATTAAAGTGCTATTGATTTATTGGATTTATCTGTTTCATTTTTCTGTCGTGTCGACATGAAAATAATGCAAGAGTAGAGGAACTGAAAAAAATCAAGAAGGTAGGCTTTCATTTCAACTTTGATGAATTTTGTCTTTTGCTGTCATGTCGTGCGCTCCCCAGCCTTCTCCACAGTACGCCCACACCTCCTTTATAACACTCCTATGCTATGTGGGCCTGGTTCACTTTAAACGCATCATTTCGATTTCTTTTTTCTTTTTCACAAGGCATGTGTTTTATCAGAGCCCTGACAGCGGATTGGCTGAGTATGCGCCCATTTCATTGCAGCTTGTCAATGCATCTTTCTCAGTCACCACCGGATGGGAGGAGAGGAGGATAGACGCGTTAGAGTAGGCAGGGGAGAAAGAGAGCGAGGAAGAGAAAGCGAGAGGAGGAGGAACGGGTAGATAAGGAATAAAGGTGTAACCCAATCTACTGACACAATCAAGGGAGGGCTTTTTCCCCCCTTATCTTTATTTCTAAATGATTTCATGGGGCTTTGGCGTTTATTCTAAGCAGAGCGAGCAGGGAGCCATTCACTGTTTCTGACGCGTAAGGTTGCCCCTACACGCCTTTGGGCATCACCGCTGATGCAGGATGATAGGATTAATTGTATAGCGTAAATCTGTGACAAAGTATTCTTGCGATCCACAGTGAAGAAAGAGGAGGAGGAGGCAAACTATGATCCGAGGATGATTTCTGCTAAGAAAACTCCGGAGAAGAGTCGTTATCCTATCCACTATCTGGTGTGGCACAACAAACACCGACAACTGGAGAAGGAGCTTGCAAGGAACGAGCAGGTGAGACGGTGAGGGGGGTGGAAAGGCGATCAAACATATTTTTTTCGTTCCATATATAGAGCTATTTTACAGGCGATTATTAGGTATGTCGATCCATAGCTGTAGATAGTGGCGGAGAAGCTGCCATCCACGGACCACCGTATTCAAGAACCTTGCCGGTATTAGCGCAGTTAATTGCTATAGGGTGGAGGGTGACACTTGTGGACCGCATCGTGCTCTCGAGTCTGTGATATTTTCTTATTGCCATTCATTTTGTAAACCCCAGTGTGTCACAACAGGCTATACATGTCAGGTCTGTGCTGCGCATAGGTACCGGAAATACCCAGCCTCCCTGTAATGTAAATATGTATAGGAAGTTGTGTCAGGAGTTTATTCCTGAAAAAAGGAAAATCAAAGTGAAACCTCATGGGGTTGAAATGTGTGTGTGTGTGTGTGTGTGTGTGTGTGTGTGTGTGTGTGTGTGTGTGTGTGTGTGTGTGTGTGTTTAAGCAGCTTTATTGTTATCTACTCAAAAGTGTAGGCTCTCCACCTTCCCACCAGCACCTAAACCCTTTGTGAGTGGGTGAGACAATGCAGATACTGTAGCATGTGGGCGAACAGTTGCCAGCGACCACAGTAAATACAGTAATAGAACCATTAAGATACACTATGGTCTCCAAATATGAGACATGCAGTAATGGATGGATATTTGTCACAGCGGTAAAAAGGAAGGGACCAGATAACACGATAAGAATAACACGGTGTGTCATGTGAACAGATGCTTGTGAATTCAAACAAATACAGAGGAGAACTGCTTGCATCTTGCTCAAGCCATCATATTTCTACACGTGTGTGCACACATTTACGCACACTTGCCTACGCATGCACACCCTCACCTTCATGTGGTTATAAAATCATAACCTGGGGAGCCATTTCTTTAGACCAAAAATGGTCAGCTGTCAGTTCACCACAGTTCCCTGCATTTACAGTAACAGATTGTGGGAATGACATGTTACATTTAAATCCTCACCATAATAATAACTATTGCAAAACACATGGCACACCTCGCAGTTAAGAGGCTCTAAGAACAGACCTCTCATAGTCAAGTCAGGGCTAGAGGTGACATAGTTACTGCGTTTCATGCATAGAGGAGATGAAAATGAATCATGTGAGCTCTTGAGGCGGAGGAGACAAAAACTTTTCAAACCCTGGCTGCTGGCTGAGGGCTTAATTAAAACTGGAAGGGCACTCACTCTGAGAAAGCGCTCTTCATTCTTAGTCAATGCACTATCTTGCAATTTTAAAGAATCTGCTCCAAAAATGTAACAGGCCGTCAATGCTCCACTTCTTATTATGACGATTATTCAAACTCTACAGAGAAAACATACCTAGCCAAATATGTGCAGTCGAGTAGGTGTTCACTCAAAAACTGGATTAGTTGCTAACCTGGGAGAGTGTCTCATATTTTCAAATGTCAAGATTTATACATTTAAAGCAAAGGTGTGCATCTTCAGTCAGTAGCTACACTTGCAGGGTCTCTTAAACAATGAAAGTGTCAGCGGGCCATTGATTGGTCGGTTTCACACTTAGAAATGCCCTAACAAATATTGGATGGATTGTATTGGATAGACTGCGTTACACTTAAGTGCAGAGCAGTTGTTCATGGTCCCCTGAAGATGAATCTCATTGCATTAAGTATTCCTGCTAACTGGGAAACGCTGGGAAATTTAAGGTGACGCAGCGAGAATCATTACAACATCCCAGTCGCGGGAAGGACTACAAACATTTTATCCATTTCCTGAAAGAGACACATCTGCCTTTCAAGCATCTCACTGTTGTAATGTATAATAATGGAATTTCTAATGGCCAATGTCAAGCAACACAGGTAGATGCTGACCTGCTCGCACCCTTTTATGAAAGTAGCTCGCTAATGATATACCTCTAGCTTGTAATTATTAACTGTCTTTGCATTACTTCTGTACTTTGTGCGTCCCTCCCTCGTGCCTATAATTCGGCAACAGTAGGCAGCTCGTATAGTTTATACCATATATTATTATTGTATTTATTTTGCCACCATCTAAGTGTGTTAATGAAGTATTAAATATTAACACATTACTTTACTGTAGCTAATATTTCACATCACGGTCAGTAAACAGAAACTTCTGGCCAGGTTTGGTTTACACAAGCTCAATAAATTTGCCCTTATAGCTCCATAGTAATTCATTTTTCAGGAACTCTTGTATCCATAAATATTTTATAATGCAAATTTTTATTCCTCTTCTGCTGTGCATTGGAACCTCCTACTTTTTTCTTTTTTTCTTTTTAAACTAATCCAACCAGACTGTCTGCTACTTGTTTGTACTGCATTAGAGCAAACAAAGTGCTAAATGTGCAAATGAACTTTAGTAAATAAGCACAGCTGATCATCTTCCAGTTGCAAGTTATTTTTATTGCACTTTATTTCAGTTACAGTACACTGGGCAATGTCTACCAGCTGTCATTATGCACCCTAGGTGTATATACGAAATTTAAAACAGTGGTAAGATTACAGTCTGTTTTCTCTCCTTGCTTATATTAGAATATAACTTTAAAGATATTTCCAAGAACATAATGATTTTTTTCCCACATATTCCTTGCATTTTCCCTGCCAGCACCAGGTGTGTTTTCTCAGAGTCTAAAGCTCAACGTGTATGTGGTGACAGGTCGCAAACTACAGCAAAATGTCTCTTCATGTGATTGTATGCTCATGTGGATTATGTTATACAATCCTGCAAACCTATTCCTCGTTTTATAAACCAATGTCAGCTTTAAGAATTAGCATTATATCCATGAACTCATTTGTGATGCATTACTTGGTATGCTTTATACAAGAACCCAGTTGCAGTACTTGTGTTGCCGCTTAAACTAGGACAGCCTGCATGCAGCAAGCTTGGACTCTCAGCTTCTAGCAGTCACAAACCTGTGAAACACCCAAGCAAGCACATTAGTGATGTTGATCTCAGGTGTCGGGAAGTATTCTAGATAGCTGTGGCACTTCCACGGGAGGGGACAAAACAGGACTTTTAAAAATTTTGTCTTTTTTTGTAATAACTGCAGACAGCGATGGAGGTTGAATACTTCAAGTTAACTTTATATTCATTTTTCCCAAACTTCTAAAATCCCTGCCTGAGTAAACTTGAGCCCAAGGTTGCCTAATATGTCCGAGACCTACTTGGCCTGCCCTGCTGCTCAAAAGCAGGACACTGTTTGAGATTTATTGGCGTGAACTTTGATTTCCATGCTCAGATATGGAATATTGCTAAAGTGAAAATCAAGGCCACTAACCTACTTTTGCTCACTGGCCTAGTGTGATAGTTTCCAGCTAGGGCAACCAAATGAGAGGAAACACAGAGGAGGAAACATAAGTGTTTGACCAAAAAAACAAAAAAAAAGTGTGAATGTAAAGATATAGGTAGTAGGTTAAATCTTGTATGCACTGCACTTTGGAGAGCAGATCTGCTGAAAACCAATTTTATACAGTAACTTTCTCACACTGTAGTAGCGGGCTCTAGTTGCAGTAAGCCACCAGAAATTGCCGGAATGATTGCGGATTTCAAGATTTGTGTGTGTGACATCAGACAGATAACAAAAAAATAATATACCTTGGTCAAACATGCATGATAAACCCAATGATTCTTAAGAGGCGTGCTAAAGAATATTAGAGGCATAAGCATATTCCCAGTTCTCATAGTGTCATATGAGAGGAATTAAAATGATACGGCCCAGATAACAAAGACAGTATTTTGCAGAACAGTGTAATATCACTGACCTCTGCGTTACACCTCAGTAATCTATGATCAGACTTATCATTTCGCCATGTGCATACATCAAATATCCGGCACTGATTCGGTCTTATTTCCTTCCTGTAATGCAGTGACTGGATGGTTTAACATGAAACTCAAGCTGTCTTTTTTTTCTTAAATGGATTTTTTGCAAGACTTCCACTATTAGAGTGTAGCATGCATGTACAGGTATCGTTTGTGAGAAGATAACAGGTTAGGTAAGATTGGGAATGGTACAATAAATGCCAGCTGACCATGGATAAAACCACCAATAAAAAGAAGGAGATGGAAAATAAGAAGGAAAATACAAGCAGCGGTGGGTTACAAAAGAAAAAAAGAGAGGATGAGAGATCCTGGGGTGAGATTCTTAGCCGCTTTTTTACCACAGCTTTGAGTTAAGGAGTGCACTAACAGCCGGCTGGGTAACGAGAGGCGGAATTGGAAATCAAGGAGGCAAACACTGACAGTCTGAACCGAGGAGCGGAGGCACAAACAAGGTAATGACAGGAGTGAAGACAGAGAGCAGAGAAGTGAAGAGGAGGTGGGGAGGAAATAATGACAGACTTTGACCATGAGCAGACTCTGTTTGGGTTGTGCAGAAGCGCAGCGTAATTGAAAAAGAACAGGGCCATGTAAGGAGTGATGGTCTATCTTAGGACAAAGCCAGGAAATGACAGAAAGATTTCTCTGTTGCTGTTTCTTGTCTTCTCTGCACCTCTTTGCTTCCCCCCCTCCTATCAGAGCTGGTTTGATTATGATGCCCTTGGCGAGGTACTAATGTTACATCAGTATTATAAAATCTTATGCCGGAGTGCTAGCTTGAGGGGAATGGAGCCATAAATTAAGGCTCTCGGGTTCATTGGCTTCACTATAGGCCGGAATCTTTATGCCGAGCAGCTGCTATCTGATCGCACCTGACTACGAGCACATACTTCTCTTCCTTCTTCCCAAGTCGCATTTCCCTCAATGTCTAAAGTTGTCTTTATCCTCTTTCCCGAGTGCTTTCCACCCCTCGTTATCTCCCAAGTATCCATCCATCAAACCCACCCTACCCTTTTTTCTTCTGTGTAATAAAAATCCAATTCCAGATTTCAGGGGCCACGTATGCTGGGTTGGGTCATACTTAGTTAGGCTGCTGAAAGCTTTTAACAAATAGAGAGTGCAAAGAGAGTGTATTAGTGATAGACAATAAATACAATA